CTTGTCTGTATGATGTGCCCTTCTGTTAAAGGGATGTGGCATCCTTCACCAGGAAGAGAGAGTCTCATGCCTTTATTTGTTTAAGTCTCCACAAATACAGAAGTTTAAGTCACACTCAGAGCCCTGGTGGCACAGTGTACTAGGAGTTGGGCTGCTATCTGCAAGGTCAGCAGTTCAAACCCACCAGGGAGAAAGCCGAGGCTTTCTATTCCCCCAAAGAGTGAGTCTCGGAAACTCCCAGGGGCAGTTCTACCCTGTCCTGTAGGGTCCTGTGAGTCAGCATCGACTGGATGGCCCTGACTTGAGTTGTTAGAACTCTCTTAGAGTCCCTGCCAAACCCAGGACTAACCTCCAAACCTTCTCCTTTTGACCAGGCTGCGCACCAAGATGGGGCCATTCTTCCCTCCATTTCTTTCTTGCTCGCCTTGGCTTCTCCGTGAACCGCTTCCCTTTCTCTCCTGTTCTGCAGCTGGGATGAAAGCAGCTCCATCAGCAGCGGGCTCAGTGATGCCTCGGACAACCTCAGCTCGGAAGAGTTCAACGCCAGCTCCTCCCTCAACTCCCTCCCGACCACCCCCACCGCCTCTCGCAGGAACTCGACCGTAGTGGTAGGTCACCTTCGCGAGAGAAAACACAGGCAGACGAAGCATAGTCACTCACGGTGGTAGTTGGGTGGTAGGAGCCCTGCCTTCTGTTCAGGAATTGGGTCTGGTTCCCAGCTACCACCTGACTCTCAGTAGACACCTGCATGTGGCCGTGAAGCCCAGTGGGTCTCAGTGGAGCTTCCAGAGTAAGACGGATGAGACCTGGTGGCCACTTCCCCCCAAAACCAGCCAATGAAAACCTTATTGATCACAGTGGTTCAATCTGTTAGAGGCTGACTCATTGGCAGATAATAATAACCACCACCCAAGCCCATGCGCATCGTCTGGGTGAATAGTGCCTGTATTCGGTGCCTGCCAGTTTGGAGTGGGTTTGGGAGCAATTCCAACGGAAGAAGAAACAGAACCCCAGAGATCCGTATGCTGTCTTCTCTGGTGCGCCACCGGTGTGGTGTCGTAGAAACCCTGGGCTGACTTAGTGCTTTGCAAAGAGCAGGGCTCCCAGCTACCAACGTAAGTCCCTTCAGCTTTCCATTCGCTGGCCCCCAAGTGAATGTCTCGCTCTGCTTTTTCTGGTCCCTTAGCTGCGCACAGACTCAGAGAAGCGCTCCCTGGCAGAAAGTGGGCTGCACTGGTTTAGTGAATCGGAGGAAAAGGCTCCAAAGAAACTCGAGTACAACAGTGGGAGCCTGAAGATGGAGCCGGGGACGTCCAAGTGGCGGCGAGAGCGGCCTGAGAGCTGCGATGATTCCTCCAAGGTGGGAGATCTGAAAAAGCCCATCAGCCTGGGGCACCCTGGGTCCCTGAAGAAGGGCAAGACTCCGCCAGTGGCCGTCACGTCCCCCATCACCCATGCGGCTCAGAGTGCCCTCAGGGTTGCAGGTGAGCCGGAACCAAAGGAGGGACCCGGGCAACGACGTTTTTGCTTCTCAGTGGCCCCTCTCTTGAAGGGTCTCCTTAACTCGTGGGACCACAGCAAACCTGTGCCTCGTGCTTCCCTGTATTTGGGATTCACCGCAGTCTCGTGGATGAGGAAAGCAGGTGTTCCTGTCCCTATGCTACAGAGGTGGAAGTTGAAACTCAAAAAAGTGAAAGAGAGCAGGCAAAATCCCACAGCTGACCCAGAGGGAGAGGAGAGGGAGGAGCTCGATGAAACAGTCAGGGACGAGTTGGCCCTGCCTTCAGACCCTTCCCCTTGGCTTCAGATTGCTCACGCCCAAGACGGGTGGTCAATGAACGCACTTCTCTTCACAAGATCCTGGCTTAACCTCTTAGGGAGCGCCTGCGAAAATGGTAAAATGACTCTAGCATTGCTAGTGCTCCCAAAGGTGGCCTCTTGGATAACCCAAAGACCAAGCCAACGATTCCCCTTAGTCTATAATTACGAATCTCCACCCCCACCCCCCAAAACAAAACAGATCCCTGCCACGAAGTTGGTGTGGACTCATCTCAACCCTGTAAGACAGGGTAGAACTGCCCCTATGGGGTTCACAGGGCCATAGTTACCTGTGGCTACTGCTCTCTCATAGTCCCACCTGCCCTCTCCTTGTTTTCCTTTCCTTGCCCCCTTGGAAGAGGGCCTCTCTTGAGGGTTTCTGAGATTGCCTCTCCACGCTAACCCAGTCAGGAAGGATTGCCTTGATGGCAGAGGCTGGTGGTTGATCACTCTGAACAGAGGAAGTAAAATAAGCAATCACAGACTCCTACACACTCCCATCCAGGCTTTCTCCCCTCGGACTCCCCAGCTTCTGGAAGTAGCACCTGAATCACCTGGATATATTTGTTGTTGTTGTGTTGTTCGATGCCACAGAGTTGGTCGCCACTCTTAGGGCCTTGTGTGCAAGAGAACAACACAACTGCCAGGTCCTGGCCCATCCTCACAATGGTTGTGATGTTGCAGCCACCTGAGTGTATTCCTCTTTCATGCTGGTCCCCCGCTTGGCCTATGTTCAGGCCTCTAAGACTCTGCACGCTTCTAGCCAGTTTCAGGTGTTCTGACCTCATCCCTGCTCCCTTGCAGGCAAGCCCGAAGGCAAAGCTACCGACAAGGGTAAGCTTGCTGTGAAGAACACCGGGCTACAGCGTTCCTCCTCCGATGCCGGCCGGGATCGTCTCGGAGACGCCAAGAAGCCGCCGTCAGGCATTGCTCGGCCCTCCACGTCGGGATCCTTTGGCTACAAGAAGCCTCCTCCCGCCACAGGTACGGCCACCGTCATGCAGACTGGTGGCTCAGCCACCCTCAGCAAGATCCAGAAGTCCTCCGGCATCCCTGTCAAGCCGATGAATGGACGGAAGACAAGCTTAGATGTGTCCAACAGTGCAGAGCCCGGCTTCTTGGCGCCGGGCGCGCGTTCCAACATCCAGTACCGCAGCCTGCCCCGGCCAGCCAAGTCTAGTTCTATGAGTGTGACTGGTGGCCGGGGTGGACCTCGCCCCGTGAGCAGCAGCATTGACCCCAGTCTTCTCAGCGCCAAGCAGCAGGGAGGCCTAACGCCCTCCAGACTGAAGGAGCCTTCCAAGGTACCCAGTGGGCGGACCACCCCAGCCCCTGTCAACCAGACCGATCGGGAGAAAGAGAAGGCCAAAGCCAAGGCCACGGCCTTGGACGCGGACAACATCTCCCTGAAGAGCATTGGCTCCCCAGAGAGCACTCCCAAGAGCCAAGCAAGCCACCTCCCGGCCACCAAGTTGGCAGAGCTCCCACCAACTCCGCTCAGGTACCCAGACGGGGCAGCTTCCCCCCCTTATCCCTTCGCCTACCCTGGGCTCCTGGGAGCCCCGAACAAGGCTTTCCCCTGTGCACTTGCCTTCAGTCTTGCGTGGGATGTTCCTTTTCTTCCCTCTGGGCCAACCAACATCCTCGTCTGTCTGTCTGTCAAGGCTGCTTTCAAAACTCAGCTCCATAGTACTGCGTGTTCCATGGTCGGCTCTGACCCTTTTTCTCAGGTGCGGGTGGTTCTTCTGTGTTCCTGGACACGTAGCCGTGTGCCTGTAAACGCATTTGTTCACCTGTGTGCATGTCTCCCCCATGAGACCAAAGGTGCCCTGAGTCGGGGGGTCAGCCCCCGATGGATGACAGGGTTCCATCCCGACTCTTCTGTCGTGTATGTTGGACACCTCCTTTAAGGGTTCGCTATTCCTGTCTGTTAGTGTCCGTCTCTTGGAACCATTTACGCACACGTTATGTAGAGAGTGGCAGCAGCAATGGCGCGCTGTCACACTAGGATGTACACAGTGTGGGGTCCAAGAGAACTTGAAGGCATGGCCAGCCAGGATGGTTATCACCTGCATTGGCGTCTCTACCAGGATTTTCCCTCTGCCCTTTCCCAACAGCCTCTGTCCTCAGCAACTAGTCAGAATACGATGCAATTTAGACTGGCGTTCCACTCAGGTCCTTTCGGCCCCGTCCGTCTGTGGTTCTAAACCTCTCCTCTCCTCTTGATCCCTCGCAGGGCCACGGCGAAGAGTTTCGTCAAACCACCTTCCCTAGCCAATCTAGACAAGGTCAACTCCAACAGTCTGGATCTGCCATCCTCCAGTGAGGCCCACACGCCGAAGGTCCCGGATCTGCTTGCCGCAAGCTCAGCAGCCGGGGCCCCGCTCCCTTCCTGCTTCACCCCGAGCCCGGCACCCATCCTCAATATTAACTCCGCCAGTTTCTCCCAGGGCCTGGAACTCATGAGCGGCTTCAGTGTCCCAAAGGAGACCCGCATGTACCCCAAACTCTCAGGCCTGCACAGGAGCATGGAGTCTCTCCAAATGCCAATGAGTCTCCCCAGTAGTGCTCCCAGCCCCACCCCACCTGCTGCCCCGGCTGCGCCCCCAGAGGAAGAGACAGAGGAGCTGGCCTGGAGCGGAAGCCCCAGGACTGGGCAGTTGGACAGGTAAGTGGCCGCACTGAGGGCTCACCAAGCCTGGCCCCGTGTCCCCGGCTCCTGTTACTCCTGACGGTTTCTCAAAGTCATCTAGTGGGTTCCGACGCTGTCCTTAGGACAGAGTAGAAGTGGCCCCACAGGGCTTCCAGAATTGTAATCTTTATGGAAGCAGACTGACGCCTTGTTCTCTGACCGCCAATGGTGGGTCCAAACGGCCACCCTTGCCGCTAGTGACGGACGCTCGGCCACCAGGGTCCCTCCCCGCCCTCAACACCAGCTCTCAATCTGCCTGACGCATCAGCACTGAACCGAGAATTTCCACGTACATTAAGCAATACCATGGGCTTCACCCCAGCTTTGTGAGCTGGAACAGGTGTTGTTGTTGTTGTTGTTGTTTGCGATCTTGTTTGTTTTGCTTTTACAATCACCCTTCCCCACCGGGAAGCCAGCTCACAGAGAAACGAATGGCTTACTCAGCATCTCTCCTAATGAGCTGGACCCAGAATCCAAGCCTCCCAATTCCCATTTCCAAATCCCGTCTGCTACACCACACCTTGTTTTCCACCCGTGATAAAGGGCCCTTTACCTGCCTCACCTAGCTAACCACACCGAGTCCCCCACGAGGAGCAGCACATACTGTTTCAGATGACTCCCAGAGTGGGGGAGCCCATGGCCAGCCGGTGGCTATCATTTTGTTTGTAGACATGGAGGCACAGCCAGCTTGAGGGCCCACGTCCGGGATCTGCGTCCTTCAGCACTGTGGCCCCACACTCTGGTTTCCAAGATGAACCCACGTGTCTCTCTCTTTGTTTTATCTCCTCAGTAGCCAACGGGATCGGAACACCCTTCCCAAGAAAGGGCTCAGGTAACTCTCCAGTGTCTTTTCTTTCCTTTCCCGGTGGGGGGGCGGGGCGGGGGCTCACTGTCCGTGTGGAGAGCCACAATGACCTCTCCCCAGCCCCTCAGTCACCTGTCGGTGGTCTTATCTGAGTAGCCCCAAGCGTGACAGCACGTGAGTCTACCGTGTAGCAAGCGCTCTCTCTTGGTGAGAAGGGAGAAGCAAGTTCTCACGGGCCAATCACACGCCGACTTGTCCCAGCCTCTGTCTCCCTCTGTCATTTTCTTCCCTCGCCTTCTGAGGGAAATGCCGACTGCCTCTGGGGATCAATCGGATGGGCATGGGACAGAAGCTGCCTCGGTTTCCACCATTACTCCACCTGCCAGAGGACTCCTCCAACCCACTCCCCACCCGGCAGCCCCCATGTGGGATCATGTGCGCTGCTCTGAGCCTCCGGGGAGAAGTTCTAATGCTTCTTCCATATCTCAGCAAACCTCCTGGGGACGCCTGCTAGCCCGTCAGCATGCTCTTGTTGGGCCCTCCTCGGCCAGGTCTTCCCTACTCCCCCTCTTCCGGGTCCTGTCGTAGAATTCCACGGCCTCAGACACCCTCGACACTGACCAAGACCCCCGACGCCAGGTTGAGGTCTTCTCCTGCCTCCCCCAGGTACCAGCTTCAGTCCCAGGAGGACACCAAGGAGAGGCGACACTCACACACCATCGGCGGGCTGCCCGAGTCCGACGACCCATCAGACCTGCCTTCTCCGCCCGCACTCTGCGTGTCCTTGAGCGCAAAGGGTCAGCTTACCAACATAGGTCAGTGTTGTCAGCTGCTCTCTGTGGCCAGAGAGGAAGCGGGGCCGCCCTGCAGGGCGAGGTGGGGCAGGGCAAGGAGGCTGGGGCTCTGGGCTTCCTCTCTGAGGCTGGGTCGCTGCACAGCACCCATTCCGTCAGACTTCCAAAATCAGCTTGGAGGTGCGCTCTAAGATGCTCTAAAAATCCCCAACGGGGAAGTCGCTCTTGGGCGCCAGTTGGGTTGTAGTCTTCCTTGTGACGTCAGCGTGTCTGGTTGCTGGCCCTACCGCGAGGCCTGGGGGTGATCCCACATTGCCAACAAGGAGCCTCACCCTCAGGGCTGCCTGGGCCCACTGGTGAGAAGGCGGGTCTAAAACGGTGGGCTGGAGGATGAAGGAAAAGAGCTTTGATCACAAAGGACGGAATCTGCCCTGTAAGCTCAGTAAAGTCCAGGCTCCCCAGTGGTGCAGGAGGGGCCGGAGCTGGGGCCATCCAAGCTCTGCAAGAAGAGCCCTGTTGTGGCCACACCGCTAACGTTGGAGGAGAGCGGGGCACGAGGAAACGAGGCAGGGGCCCCATGAGTCAGAGGCAGGGAAGGAAGAGAAGGGAAGAAGCTTCGTTTGGAGGGCTCAGGCCCAGCACAGAAGCCCTGCAGGCCCGGTTCTGGGAAGCCATTCGTCAAGGCTGGCCTTCTAGAACTCCCTCGAGGACGGTGTCTGGGTAGCTCTGCGTGGTTTGCTGTGTGCTGCTGAACCCGGAAAGTGTCAGGGTAAACCAAGGGCACCAGGGGCATGCCTGTGTGCTGACTGTGGGGAGGGGGGCGTTGAAGGAACAACCGGGGGCCAGGATCATTTTACCTGGAGAAGGGAAGGAATGATCCTTCAGGAAAGGTCCCCTGGCCTCTGAAGGGCTATGCGATGGAGGATGTGGTCAGCTTGATCTCCACCTCCACTAGGACCAGACAAGGGGATGTGTGTTTACCCTGCAGGGGGAGGGGGTGGGATGAACAAGAAGCACCTTAACTGGTGTGAAAGGGGACCCTCTTTATGACCGGACGAGGCAGCCGGATGAGGCAGCCACCTACCAGCATTCGGTCTGAAGGATGTCCCAGAGGGGTCCCATGGGGGTGTCCCCTGTGGAAGGTAATGGTCCCCGTAGGGAGCTAAGGGAAGGGTTCTCCAGGTCAGCAAGCTGCGAGGAGCCCGGCTTCAAAGCAGATCCTCCCACAAGCCTCACCTGACACTCCCACCTGCTCCAGCTGACCTAGGAGCCAAGGAAAGCCGGGCAGACAGGTGTCTTGCTGCTTCCCAGCCGTCTCGGGGACCTGACCAGCCGCTGCTCTGTGGGAAGAGCTTTCCCCTCCCCGGTGCTGCCGGGCCCACCGGCTCCCAGGGCTCAGCGCCGCTTCGCCTGCTGGCTCTTTTTCCTCATCCTTGGGATCTCCGTCTCGGTCTGAAGTCTCGGTCCTCCCGAGCTGCCAGGGGAGTTGTCGGGAACCACAGCACCCCATGTTCATTGGCACATCCGTGTGATGTGAAGGTTTCCTCAATGCTGCGAGGCCCCCAGCCTAACCTTCCCAAACAACAGCTCTCTAGGGCAGGCAGGGCCCAGGACAGGTTCCCCGAAACAGGAGCCAGGCTTCATTCCCCCTTTGCTCCAGTTCGTGAGAGCCCCCCCTTGAGGACCCCGCGCCGAACACCCAAGCTGCTTGCACACTCCCACAGCCCCAGCTGCCCCTTCCTCTCCTGCCCTCTCACCTTTGGCCTCTCATCTACTAGTGCTCCATCCCCCTCCCTACCCCCTCACGGGACCGGAGAGCTGATGACCCTGCTCTTCTCCTGCCCTCCCCACCCTCTCCTGTCCCCTTCCCTCTGTCCTTCCAGTGAGTCCCACTGCGGCCACCACGCCAAGAATCACCCGCTCCAACAGCATCCCCACCCACGAGGCGGCCTTCGAGCTGTACAGCGGCTCCCAAATGGGGAGCACCCTGTCCCTGGCCGAGAGACCCAAGGGGATGATTCGGTCGGGATCCTTCCGAGACCCCACGGACGATGGTGAGACTTCATGCCAGCGCGGTTCACGCTCATTCCAGCTTCGCTGGGCCCCCCACCCTCCACCACCACCGCCACCCACAGGAGCCACACAACATCCACCGGGGCCACCGCAGGCCTTCCTCCCACCCCTCCGAAGGATCCGTGGGCCCGGAAACCTTGGGGGCGGGCACTGTCTGGCAGTGGTGCTTCGGGATGGAGTGTTTGTCCTCGGGGCTGGGGGAGGGACATGAACCATGAAAGCTGGTGCCACGGTGCCCACCCACCAGAGCACTCGGAACGCCGTGGCTCCGATGATCCTCCTCGTTGGTGCATCCGTCTTACCTCCTTCCCCACTGTCTCCCAGAAAAGATGAGAAGACGTCATGGTGGCTCTGAAGCCCCATGGATCCTCACACGGAATTAGGCATTGTGTCCTGCTGTCAGCAAGGCTCCAAACGTTCTCTGCAGGGAGGGCCATCTGCCCAGTGGGAGTGATCTGGATGCTAACGTTGGGTAGACTAGATGTCCCGTTAGCCCTTCGGGACACTTGTTACACGGGTGTTCTCTCAGTTCAGACTCAAGATATCATTGGAAGGCATAGGCCTTTCATCTGCAGGCCCCTCTGGGCCCTGAGCAAGGCCCCCAGGGCTGAGAAGAGGCTCCGGCAGAGTGGCCGTGCTGGTTGTGAGCTCTGATGAGACACTCCCCTCCCGGGCAGTAGAGAACCAGCCTCCTCGGAAAGATGCCGCCTGAGCCACAAAGAGCCCCGCCCCTTGCCCCTAAATCTCTGTGTCCCTCTGAGCGGGGCCGAGAGAAGGGCCTTGTCTCCTTAGCAGACACCTGCATTGCGCTGTTGAGATGCCATCTGGGTCCCTGATGGGCTCCAGATGCCCTTCAGAATCCGAGTCCAAGCTCCTGCCGCCGGGCGGTCTCGGGCGCCTCCGGGCCCTGGAGCCCCGTGCTGACTCCATCCGTGTGCTTCTCTTCCAGTCCACGGCTCCGTGCTGTCCCTGGCCTCCAGCGCCTCCTCCGCCTACTCCTCCGTAAGCAGATTCCCTTCTCTTCCTCCCACACCCCTCACCCCACCCTCTGCCTCTTCCTGGGAGCTGTCCCTGGGCTGACTGCCTGAGGAAGGCCCCGGCCACTGCCTCCTCTTCATTTGGTCTGTTGGCCCGGGTGGGGGCCGGGGAAGATGTCCCACCACCACCTCCTGAGCAACTCCGGTGGGTTTTGTTCCCCTCCTTTCAATAACGGTGATAGAAACCTTACCCATGCCCGGGTACGTGGGGAGCACCCTGGGAAGGTGAGACGGGCTCTCTGTCCCTGGGAGTGCAGTCACCACAGCTTTTCCTGGGTTCGCTGGGGGGCACCTGGCACTGCTTTGGGCTACCCGGTGTTTTCTGATGCGGCCGTTTTCTGATGCGGCCGTTGGCCCTGCGCCCAATGGTTTCTCCTGTAAGTTGTTGGCAGTAAGCACTAGCCCTTTAGAATAGCCGCATTTCTCTGTCCTCACGTTCATGGTCTTCAGAAATTTGGCTGAGGATAAGATTCAGAGAGACCTTCTATTTAAACCCTCGCGTGTGCGTGGGGTCTGAAAGGAGCCCTGGGCGTGTCATGGGGGACGCTTGGAGCTGCTAAGCACCAAGTCAGCTATGCGAACCCCCCAGCTGCTCTGAGGGAGAGCTGAGGCTGTCTGCTCCCAGACTTTAGTCTCAGAAACCCAGGGGAGCAGAGTCGTTCCGTGAGTCAGAATGGACCGTGGGACAGTGGCCTTGTGTGCAGGGTCCGCGGGGCACACCAGTGGCACCGTGACTGAGCGCTCACCAAAGATGGTGGGTCAGACATCAGGCACCCTGCGGGGCAGTTCCAGTGAGTCAGCATTGACTCGAGGGCAGTGGGCTTCTTTGGGCGGATTGTCTGCTCCAAGCAAGGCTTTGGGAGGACCACGGCCAGGGAGCGGCGTTTCTGTCTTTCCGCACCTCGGAATCACGCTCCTTCCGGTTCTCTGCCTTGCCACTGGGCCCCACTGCTTCACCTCGGAGTAACGACCTCCTCCCTCCCTCTCTCTCTCTCTCCCTCTTGCTGTGCTCCCTGCTTCAGGCTGAGGAGAGGATGCAGTCTGAGGTAGGGTGCCTCGCCTTTGCCTTTGCTTATTAACACCACTGCACCCCACGCTCCCTCACCCCCACCCCATTCCTCAGCTGCCACCATTCCTTTACACCTCTTATCCTTTCACAGCAAATCCGGAAGCTTCGCAGGGAACTGGAATCATCCCAGGAAAAGGTGGCCACCCTGACGTCTCAGCTCTCTGCCAATGTGAGTGCCGCTCAGCGCGGAAGGACCCGTGGGTTTTCCTGGCCACAAGTTAGGCACGAGGGCCCAGGGCAGGCACACTCCATGACAGTGTGTGTTAGTCTTGGTAGACCAGAGAAACAAATTCATAAACACGTATATGTGTATAAGAAAGAGCTTTAAATACAAGAGCAGTTGAATATTGAGAAAATGTCCCAGCCCAGGATATTAGCCCATATGTCCAATACCAATCTATAAAGTCCTCTTCAGACTCAAGAAACACATGCAATGATGCCAAATGCAGGAAGGTCACAGGCCAGTGGGTGGGAAGTCTTGTGGATCCAGTGGCGGTGTAAACATCTCGTTGCTGGCAGGGGTCTCCACGTGGCTCCTCCAGCTCAGGCCATAGCATAGCTCCATGTATCTTCTCAGCTGAAATGTCTCCCAGGGAGTCAGCCTGCCCTGCGTCCTGCCTCCAGTGAACTATTTATCTCTTTAGCGCCTCCAAGCTGTGACCTGATTGACAGGCTAACCTCCACCCCTTCACTCTTAATCCTCTCAAATTGACAACAGATTATGTAACTACCATACAGAGGGTCCCCGGGCCCCTTCCTAGCACCACGGGGTTGGTCTGGGGGTGCCCTTCCTCAATCCACAATTGTGACTGAGACTGCTTTTTTCACCCCCCCTACTTCATGGGTCTAGATGAGTTCATGTCTGCGAATGGTCTCGAAACTTCTAGAGCCCAAACAAATTCTCCCTGGTTCTGCCTTGAGCTGAAAACCACCTTGCAATGCATTGGCCATAGAGGGAATTACTTATAGGGTGACAGGTCCTTGGAACCCTCAACCACTGTCCTGGGGTGGGTGTGTCTTGGATTCCACCACACAAGTGGGCCGGCCCAGACTGGTTGTTAGCAGTCTGTCTGTCGACCACAGCACACCACCTCGAAGCCCAGCTCACATTCTCCTCTGACTCCTCCCACCCCCACCCCCAACTGCCTCTTCCTTGTCTCCTGGACGGCAGGCAGGTGGGAGCCAGCCTCCTTGGCAGTTCCTCCAACTGCCTTCCTGTGGGTCCCCTTAGAAGGAGTTGTTGTTTTTATTTGTTTGTCTGTCCCGTGAGCCTTGGTTTGTCCCTCTGTAAGATGGGGGAGAAAGGAAGTCAGCTCCCCTGACGAGGCTGTGGTCGCTTCTCCACTGGGACCGAGTTACATACAGAGAGAACATAGAGACATTTCCCCCCACAGCCGTAAACAACAGCTGAGCCGGATCTGCAGGCGCCTTCCAAGCGTTTGCACAAAAGTCAGCGTGTCTGCACTTCCGCAGCCCCTTACTGGGCTTCCCTCAGCCCTTCCTCCCTGGAGAACCCAGCTGTCCGGCCCGGGGGCTCTCCCGTGGAATCAGGCCAAAGAGTCTCCGTCAGGATTTTTGCCCGTTTTCCAAGAGTTCAGCAGAAGTTCCCTTGCCGTGTTAGGTTACCCGAGTTTCTTGTCCGGGATCCTCAGTTCATCAGTTGTCTGCGCACCAGCCTGGGGCTCAAATGAAGCCCGTTTTCCCACTCGGGAGGCCCCTAAGAAAAGCGGGATAAACGAGAACCATCTCCTGTCTTGTGTGCCCCAGCCTCCAAGGCTGGTGGCCAGGGTCACGTCCCGCACACCCCAGGAAACTGGTATCCAGGAGATGCTGGGGAGGGAGGCAGAGAACACGATGGTGTCTGATTCATTTACACTGCAGTCTCTCAACCGTCGTGCTGTCCAGGCTGGGCCAGGGCCAAGAAAATGAATCCAGAGGGGTTTTTTTCCTCTCTCTCTCAGAACAGGAAGTTCCCTTTGGCTGGGAGGCAACAAACTAAACACACAGACATGGTGGGTCCTGAGTCTTAGAGGCAGATTTTTCTGAGGGCCAGAGCCCCACCCCCGAGCTGCAGACTCTGGTGAGGTACACAGCCGTTCTCAGGGTCCCCACCCGGGCTCGAGCTCATGTCCGATTCCGTGGTGCGTCCTGGCTGCCACTGGTGAGGGCACACCCTAGACAGGGAGGGGTCCCACACCCCCATGTCCCTCTCTAGTGCCAGCCTCTGTTGGCACACCGCTGCTTAGCCTCCGGGTCGTAAATGGCCCAAGGACGGGGAAGACGGCCAGGCGGAGAAAGAAAGCGAGATCCTTCTCCTGAGACACGGGCAGGAAGCTGGGGATCCTGGTGAGCTGGAGACTCCAAGGATGGTGGGCAGCCCGTTTATAGCCAGATGCTCAGGGAGAAAGAGCTGGAAACCACAGAAGACACGAGGTTCCCTGTCTGTAAGAGAACATAAACTGTTTGGGGTCAGGGTGTAGACGTGGCCAGGAGCCCAGGCCCTGAAAGATTTGTAGTAACGTGGGAGAGAAGGTGCAAAGGGGGCCAAAAGGAGGCTCCAGGCAGGCTCCGCGGGTGCCGTGTCAGAGCCAGGGTTTCTCCCCCAGCAAGAAAGAATGCCTCACAGACAGGAAGCGAGGAAGTGTGGCCCAGGGATCCTGGAGCGCCCCTGTCCAGTCATGCCCTTGGCTTCTTGCTAGGGCCACCAACTGGCTCAGATACACCCCGCCGATAGCTGGCCCTCTCTCTCCAGCTCCGAAAGCTGCCCTCTCGAGACCCAGTCCCTTCACTTTTCTTACCCATCTTTTTACCCATCTGGCAAGCCGGCCAGCGAGGCAGTCATCCAACTTCAAAACGTTGATGGGAAGATTCCGTTATCTTTTCATTCCTTTTCCCACCACCTTTTTTTGAAGCCCCGGATTTGCTGCAATCCGCCTGTCCTCCTCACGGAGCGGGCCTGACACCTACTGGCCAAACTGGAATGCCCCATTGTCGCTGGCAGCCCTGCAAGGTAGACTGAAGGTTCAAAGCAGCAGCCTAGAGATAGCTCCAAAGCTGGAGAGAGTTCTGGGTGGAGGGCACCCTGCGGGCAGCAGTGGAAGAGACAGACCTGGTGAAGTTTTTCATCAAAGGTTACTCGACCTGTGGAGCAATAGTAGAGTTCAGCCAAAATCATAGGAACCGACCCTGGTTTTAGAACCCCAAAGCCCGCCACTGTGCATAGCTCAGAGAACAGACGGACAGTCCCACCCGGCTCCCGTGCTGTCAGGACAGCTTGACCGGGAAGCTGGTCCTTCCTCACCAGAGCATGGCTTCAGGCTGCAGTTGTTGGATTCTACCTTGCCCGCTCAGGGAAATCGCTATTTCAAAATCACCGAGAAGTTCGCCAGCCAGCTTTGGTCCAAATCAGCTTATACAACTGCCCACGCCAGCCCTGTCACCAACACCCACCCCACTCCCCTTCCCGCCTCCAGCCTCAGCCAACATGGGGACCTCCACGTCTGTTTGTTTCAGGCCAATCTAGTGGCGGCCTTTGAGCAGAGCCTGGTGAATATGACATCCCGCCTACGACATCTGGCAGAGACTGCCGAGGAAAAGGTGAGAGCCCTGGGGAGGGGAGGGGAGGGGAGGGAGGGGAGGCACGCAGGTGGTGAGGGGCTCCTCCCCAACAAGCAGGGAAAGGCCACCCCTGAATTCTCAACCCTCCCCCCAAACAGTGTGAACATTTTTTTTTGTCCCAACTCCCCACCCTCCCCTATCAAGTCTAGTAGAATTCTGGTGCCTGGCATACAGTTAGGGCTCCGCATGGCAACCGATCCTACTATTTTATTTTCCTCTTAGGACACGGAGCTGCTGGACTTGCGAGAAACCATCGACTTTCTGAAGAAGAAGAACTCCGAGGCCCAGGCCGTCATCCAGGGTGCCCTGAATGCCTCGGAAGCCACGCCCAAAGGTAGCCAGCAGCCTGGGAGGAGGGCCAGGGGCGGGCTGGCAGCAAGACCGCTGAAGCCTTTCTGCGTGCCTTTAAGACACCACCACCCCTACTGCATTTGTAAAAGATGAGGGGCCCTGAGACCCTGAGGGTGAGGCTCTGAACCAGTCCGTGCGGAGCCTGCCCCAGAGACGAGGCACAGCAGGGGACGCTTGTCCTCCGCGTGGGTCCTCTAGGTCAGAGCCAAAGGGCTGCCGAAAACCACCAGTCAAGCACATTGTTAAGGGCCGGTGCCACCTTGGAATAAGGGTGCCATCTACACACACGCGCGCACACACACACCATCTTATGTGGTCCCCGCTGCCGTTCTTTGAGGGGGGAATCAAGACAGACTTCCAGCGAGATGACCAAGCACCACGTAGATTACGGGGAGTTCACATGATAAGTCGTCCTTGGCATTTACCTGCGACGAGGTCGCGCCGCGGCAGAGAGAGCCAGGACCTGTACCAGCGTGATGTCCCACAGGAGCTGGGCTCAGTCCCACCAGCCTCCTCGTCCGTAGTCTGGTTTCTTTTCTTATTCCACAGTCGGCTCCCCACAATCTCCACCGCTTCTCTCCAGCCCCTCATCCCACTTGCTCAAGATATCTACCCTTCAAGGTGTGTTCAATTGATGAAGATCAGAGAAAATTAGTAGCTTGTTCAGAATGACAGATTCTGGAATTTCCAGCCATTTCTAGTTTCCCAAGCACACCTTGCTCTTCAGTCCCTGTAGGTGACATGTATTTATTGAGTAAATGAATCCTGTCTTTTGCTGGGAGCTGTCCAGCAAAAAGACAACAATAGACAGACAGATAGCTATAGTATCTGTACATGCTGATCCGGGCTCAACGGGGTCACTAGCGTTTTCTGGAAGCAGTTCAGGAGTCTGGTGCTGAAAGCAATAATGCCTGGCTTTATCGTAAAGTAGGTAATCATGGAAGTGGCACAATGTTTATTAACTTTCTGTGGACTGATGCGGCAATGTAGCCTATGCTCTTAAAAGTACTATAGGACATTTCTTTCATAGACTCACAGCTAACTTAAAACACTGGATAAGGGATGGGGCAATGCACGTTTATCTTGCTACCCTGCGCTTTTGTGTTTATTGTGATGATTTTCAATTCAGTGTTATCGTAAAAGCTATGCATGCTCTGGGGAGAATGTAAACTTGGGGGTTGGAAAAGTACAGCCTGTGTGCCAAGATGCCCTACCAACTGGTGCTATAAGTAAGATCTATAGGAAAACCGCCATGTGCGCTTATTCACATAGTGGGCTGCCAACCTCAAGGTCAGCAGTTCAAGCACCTCCAGCTGCTCCGTGGGCAAAAGACGAGGCTTTCCATTCCCATAAAGAGTTACAGTCTGGGAGACCCACAGGGACCATTCTACCCTGTCCTATAGGGTCGCTGTGAGTCAGAATTGACTCCAGGCAGTCAGAGAATTGTATGGATTTTTTTGCTTTACAGCGATGAGTCGACGAGTTTGCAACTGAGATGGTAAAGCCCCAGGACCAAAACTATTTACTCTCTATGCCTTTTCAGCAAAAGTGTGCTGACCCAGATATAAACTAGACAGAAGGGATGTGGTAAAATACAAGAGCCCCTTCCCTGTCCTGAACCCTCCCCTACTCCCGCTCCCAGAGTTAACTCTTAACTCTTCTTGAAAAGCTTCCGCATCATTTCAAATAGCTTGATGTACTTTGAGCTCACAAACTTGGTGCTAAAAGTGAACGGAGGGATTTTCACATGCTTTCTGAGCCCTGATAGTTCCAACACCAGATCCCAGGATCTCATGTTTTCCCCAAGTATGCAGGGGGGATTAGAGTTTAAACATCCATTTCTGGTCACGGAAGGAGTCAGACAGTAAAAATAACCACTCACACCCCCTTGTTCAACAGCTCTTATTTCGAGAAGACTTGCCTGTAGCCCCCTTACCAGTCCCTTCCATCTGCCTAGTTTCCCTCCACCTCTGTTGCTCATTGTTAATGAACTCTATTGCAGGGGGCTGGGGTTTGTGGGGGGGATCTCCTTGACATTGTGCTATAATCAGCTACGATGTTGACATCAGAGGAGACCAGGGGAAGGTGCACAGGCCCTTCCTGTCCACACCTCTGTAACTTCCTGTGACTGTAATGATTTCAAAGTACAAGGCTCCTAAAAATCGGATCACATGATGCCCTGGCTTCTGAAGCCTTGCTGTCCATACGCTATGCCACAGGTTTCTTTTTTGAAAATGTGTTAGTTCGTCTCGGTGAGAGTGCGCATAGCACATGAGATTCGCCTTTGGCAGTTTCTACACCGGAACTCTTGGGTGACACTGGTGAGGTTTCTCCGCAGTGGGCACCAGGCTGGTCACTTGCATTCTTGTTGGCCCGTTTCCAGGACCCTGGTTTCCCCATGTCTGACCTTGGCTCCAGAGTCCTCGTGGGCCTTTTGGTCTTCATGAGGCACCCACGGTAACAGCCTTTCTTTTGTGGGCGAGTTGGTTATTTTGCCAAATGGCGGCCTCGGGGTCATTTCAGTTCAGGGCTTAGAGAGGGTCTCCGAGAGTCCTCTCGTCTTGACGGGTCCAGCGAGTCCACATGTCTCAGCAAATTCTGCATCCTGCTCCCTGTGGCTCCCCCTGTCTCTCCGGGTCCATATGGTCTGGCCCTGATCAGAAAGGCCCGTAGTCGTGGTGCTGAGCACCATCGGGTCCTCCTGGTCTCGGCATGGCCGAGGGCGTGGCTGGTGCAGGCCATGACCCCAGCAGCAGACCCGCTCCTTCTCTGAGACGCAGGCGTCCTTCTGTCTCTTTCACGCCTGAACCCAGCAGCTGAGATCGATGGCGGGCGTCTTGGGCTGAACCCTGTTCACTCACTAGACGCAGAGCATGAGCCCGGTGATCTGTACAGAATGTGACCAGTCCACAAAGAGGGGGCTTCTAAACGTTTGTAGCAACAGGGTGACTGACGTTGCCCACACCCTCCTTGAAGCCTTCTCGTGTGGGTGACGAGCGACTCCGTTTGGGCTATGATTGGGGGTGTTGTCAAATGACACGTGCCTCCTTCTGGAGCACAAGCCTACTTCTCTGTGAGTGGCATTGTCTGCGCTGTGCCCATCGCCAAAAATCGCAAGCATCTGCCACCTAGAGAGTGATTCACCCTCCCCCCACCCAGCCATCCCTAGCAGCCACCAATGAACATCGGGCTCTGTGTATCAGGGCACTTCCAAAAGTTTGTGGAGAAGTCTCATTATCGTCTCATTCCAATTTCCCATGAGCGTTTTGAAGACCCTCACCACCTCTACTACCTCCCAATATCTTCTTCTTGTCTTATTGTCATGGCTGGGATTTCTAGTATAATGTTAAATGACCCTCTGCTACTGAATCAATTCCAATTCACAGCAACCCTGTAGGACAGAATAGGGTGAGTTGGGGGGGGGGGCACAACTACACAAAGTTGTTGGACACCCCCCCCTCTGTTTTATTCCTGTTCTCTTTGATGACTTATTTCTATGCGCTTGTTGCAGCCCCTCGTTTTGTGTCTATTCTTACACAAGGGAGGTCATACCTGCTTCTCCTCAGATGACTGCCTCACCTCACTTAGAGGGGGAGGTGCCTCGCACACTCGCCCTCGTCCTTGACGGCGGGGTCCTAGCTCACTGCAAGGGCCCGGCACCACCTTTTGCTGATTTTTTTGCTATTGTGAGTAATGTTAGAAGGATCCTAGGTGTGCTTAAAACAGACCATGGTTCAACGGCATTTCCGGCTGCCTGTGATCGGGCCTTCCACGCAGCCTGTACCCTTCCCTCTGGCTGCCCCCACCACCCCCCACAGTTGGTGCATAGCTTCCCTTCCCGAAGCCTGCGGTTCCGAAGCCAGACTGCTTCCCTGCAGTGTCTGCATGCCCTTCGCCAGTGCTCTCTCCATCCCTAAATACATTCCCGAATGTTTCCATTGGAAGGACTTCTCTTTCAAGATCCAAATATGGCGTCCCCTCCCTGCTGTTTGAAAACACAGTAGGCCGTTTTCTCATTCCATCGCAAACCTTCAAAGAGACCCGAGGAATGGGGCGTGTGGCTAATGATACTTGGCCCTGAAGCCGCTATGCAGCCACGCTATGCCGAAGAAGCCATGAAGCATCGTAGATTGCTGTCTCCGTAAGGCTGTAGAGGGCCCGCTTTTCGTTAAGCCCCTCTCAGACCTGTCCAAGCCAGGTCCCTGACGGGAGGCCACTGGCTATCCTACTAGACTGGGGGTTACTGGTCAACAGAGATCATGTCCGCTTTCTTTTTTAACCTTAACCTTTTCTATGGTGAACCATAACAAGCGCTCAGGAAAGACTCATTGCGCAAGTGATCCCCCAAATGAATCGCTGGCGGGGTCCCCTCCCCTCTCCTTCCACAGTCAACCTGCCTCGAGTGCCGCGAGTCTTCGGTCTTCTTTCAATCTGCCCTGTGTTCTTCCCTCTTGTCCCTGGCCCCCAGAGCTTCGGATCAAGAGACAGAACTCCTCAGACAGCATCTCCAGCCTCAACAGCATCACCAGCCACTCCAGCGTCGGCAGCGGCAAGGAGGCTGATGCAAAGAAGAAGAAGAAGAAGAGTTGGGTAGGTAGAGGGGTGGGGCAGGCACCATCTAGGGGTACGGTGGACCACCTCCACCTCTGCCTATGGAATTAGCCCCTACGCATTCCCTTCTCCGTCACTGATGGCTGCGAAGCTCAAGGTCTTCTCGGTGCGCCCCGTTCCACCAGTCACTTCCTACTTGTCCCAAGACCGTTCCCCCAACCCACCTTCCGCTAGCTCTTCTCTCCTTGAGTGCTTCAGACTGGTGAGCTCCCGTGTATTTGGCAGCAGAAGGAAACAGGGAATCTCCGGGGGAGAGAAATAATAAAGCAGTCCTCTCCACAACTCCCTCCTACTCCCTTCTCTACGATGGAGAGAACCTAGGAGCGGATGCTCCTCCTATTTAGAATACAACTCATTCACTCTGCATGGCCCTGGAGGTCACGTCTCAAATTTGCCCTAAACCTCTGGCGTGACCAGAGATGATTTCTGTCATTTTTTTATTCCACTCGCACCCCTCACCCCCGGACAACCCTAAACAGTCTTTGGGGACCTTTCTTAAATCGAGACTGTTCAGAAACACTCTCACCTGGTTTTGCTGCCGTTAGTAAGGGGAGCCCCCACACCCCCAGGAGCCTCTGCCCCTCTCTCCCTCGTCCGGTAAGGCGGGCCCACGGGCCTTCGTGGGGGCAGCGCGATGGTGCCTGCTGGCTGAAATGAGTGACTGAAGTGTTGCTTCTCTTTCTTTTTCCCTCCCCTTCACACTGCTGACTTCAAATCCCTATTTTTTTCCAGGTCTATGAGGTAAGAGACCCGGCTCCTCTACCCTTGTCTTCTCTTTCCCTTTGCCATACCTTCCCTATTTTCAGAGCAAACGCCAGCCCACTTAAACATCTGCAAAAAAGAAAGAAAGGAGAATGAGCACTCATCACCCTAACCGCAGCGACCATCCCCCAGAGCCCCGCCCGTCCCCACTGCATGGTCCATCCACGGCTGCCCACGTGAGGACAGAGGAGTGGTCTGGCTGGGGGCCAAACGGGAAAGTCAAACAAAATAGAAATCTGTGCCCTCCTGTCTTCCTCTGGTTACAGTAGAGGCCCGTTATAAGAGCCGGCAAATCAAGCTTCCCCGCCCAAAATGCCTTCCTTCCTGTTGATCCCATCACACCTAGAAGCCCAGAGTGGGAGCGACTGGCCGGAGGAGTATTCTCTTGACCACAATTTCTTGCCACCAGTTTGGGTCTGGCCTCACCTGAGGTTTTAGCTCTAGGAGGAGGAGCCAATCTGCAGCATCCTCAGGTCACCCCCAAGCCTAGAAGCCCTCAGAGCAAGAGCCCATGGAGTTTCCAAAGCCATTTCAAGGATTAGTGTGGTCTTAAGTTGGCGCACAGCAGGTAGACTTTGAATTTCCGTTGCAAGCCAGACACCTGAGGTCCATGCTAACTCTGCGTCCACGTTGTGCTGGGTGGCGTGAAGGCTCTGAGAAACGAGGTCTTAGAATATCAGCTCTCAAGTCGGCAGGGAAAACTTGAGCGAGGTCAAAGTTCAACTACAGCCGGGTGTGTGGCAGGTTGAGAGGCGAGCGCTGAGGTGCTTCTCCGCCGTAGGCGCCGCCCGATCACAGGCCAGGGGAATGTCCACCGGGAAGGGAGGAGCAGAGAGCTGAAGGGCCGGAAGAGCCCCAGTATTATGGAAACTTGAATCTGTCAGTTAGCATCTCCTGACCTGTGTCCCACAGATCGCTAAGTTCATTGAGATGCTTCGAGAATCTGCATTTTCCAATGTGCACATTTGTGCGGTTTAAGTTCTGTGCAGTGACCCCCCCGAGTAAAAGGCCTCGCTCGCTTCACTCTGCACTCGGCTCTGTTTCCCGCATTCCTTTGGTAAAAGGGAAACTTAGCTACCTAACACCCATCTTCCTCCCGCCACCATTTGGGTTTGGGGAATACTAAACCGTGCATAGAACAGGGTTCTCACGGAGGATCTTCTTGAGCTAAGCCGGCAGACACTTTCAAACTGTGAGCAGCAGTAACATGTCCCCGGTAGCCAGCTAGTGCACACACGTCCCTCACCTCCTCGTCCCCGACGCACGGTAGAGACAACACACACCACACAGCAGCCCCGCCATCCTGCGTGTGTGCAGTGACCCTTAGGAAGGGTACCAAACGTGCCCTTCCTCTCACTGCCCTAGAGTGAGTTTGCCCTTGCGCCCTGTAGCCTTTGACCCCTCCTTTACTCTCTGTCTCTGGCTGCCGTCCCGTGTCTGTGTCCCCGTGTGTGTGCATGCCGTGTGGATGCATGGGAATGGGTGTGGGACAGGACCCTGCATCTCCAGCTCACCGCCCGAATTCCTGAACCCTCAATCAAGGAAAGCCACGAGCAAATGATGATAGCCCCGGTGCCCTACGGCCATGCTGGGAAATGCTCCTTATTCTAGGACATTGGAGTCAAATTAGTGGAAAGCACCATGACTGATTGTTCTGTGTGGGCTGAGCACCCAAAACCAAAAAGCACCCAAATCTGTTGCCCCCGAGTTCACCCCAATGCATAGGACCTTACGAGATGAAGCGGATATGCCCCCAAGGTCCCCAAGGCCGCCATCTTTGCCGACACAGAGACTGCCACATCATTCTCCCACAGAGCCGCTTGTGGGCTCGAACCACCAACCTCTCGGTTGGTAGCCAAGCTCTTAACCACTGCATCACCAAGAAATGAGAGCTACTAAGAGAAACTTGCTCCTGGTCGTCTCCACAGAACTGTACCGTTCGCCTCTGGGCTGAGCAGATAGATGAGCAGTGGCTGAGCTGCTACGCCCTGGTCCACAGAGGCGGAGAGAGTGAGGCGATGGGGCAGTTGCTAGAGGTGGGGTTGGAAGGCTGGGCCGGGACTTCTCTCTGTCCCTCTCAGAGGCGCAGTTCCCCGTGGGACAGAGAAGAACCGAGGAGAAGGGCCTGAAGAGTCCACCCTTTGCCATCCCAACTTCTAGGCACCTCTTCTGTGATTCAAGTGAAGCCTTAGGAGAGAGGCTTCCTGACAGCCAGCCAGTCGAGCCCCTGCCTCCAGGCCTCTCTGTCCAGAGCCCCATGCCCGCCCTCCCCTGGCCCCTCACCTGTCTCTCTCCCCTGATCTGTTCTCTTGCAGCTGCGAAGTTCCTTCAACAAAGCCTTCAGTATCAAAAAGGGGCCCAAGTCAGCGTCTTCCTACTCGGATATTGAGGAGATTGCCACCCCCGACTCCTCCGCCCCGTCCTCCCCCAAACTACAGCACGGTTCCACAGAGACTGCCTCACCCTCCATCAAGTCCTCGGGCACTGACACCGCCGAGTAAGTGCTCTCCAACGCCCTGCCACTCGGCCTGGTGCCAGTGCAAACAGCTGCCCATCCCACCTGAGCAAGTGAGAGCCCACTGGAGACCTCTCCCCGGGCAGTGAGGTCCAGAGAGGGCTCTTTCTCCTCATTACGGCTGACTGTCTATGTGCAGAAGGAACCAGCTACCAATCATAGGTCTCCATGTGGCCGCAGGCGGACCTCTGGTGTTTATCTGTGTGGCCTAGCTCCACTCTCACTCTCTTGCAGGGCCCCCGCTAACTCGGTTCCCCACACCAGGATGTTCCATGCCAACGAGGAAGAGGAGCCAGAGAAGAAGGAGGTGTCAGAGCTGCGTTCTGAGCTGTGGGAGAAAGAAATGAAGCTTACAGACATCCGCTTAGAAGCCCTCAACTCTGCCCACCAACTGGACCAGCTTCGAGAGACCATGCACAACATGCAGGTCGGCATCCGGGCAGAGGGCGGGCTGGAAAGGGAGGGCCCCCGGCTGACGGTCTGTTGTCGGCCTCACCCTGCCACTCTGCTCTGGTCTGTTCTTGCCATAGTTGGAGGTAGACCTGCTGAAAGCAGAAAATGACCGGCTGAAGGTAGCCCCAGGCCCCTCGTCCGGCTCCGCTCCAGGGCAGGTCCCTGGGTCATCTGCTTTGTCCTCCCCTCGCCGCTCCCTGGGCCTCGCGCTCACCCATTCCTTCAGCCCAAGCCTCACAGACACAGGTAACACAGGTTTGGGAGAAGAAGCTGTCAGGGTGGGGATAAGGGCAAGGCTCCTGTCCCATCGGCACTGCTCCACTTGCTCTGGGGGCATTTTCCTTGGGGCCAGGAGGTGACAGAGTCTAAACCAGACAGGTGCCACTGTTGTGAGTAAAGGGTCTGCAGAGCCTTCGAGCTGAATGCCTCAGTTTTAGGCCACCTTCTCTTTGTGATGGGGGCACTGGTGTCTTCGTGGTTACTCCATGGGCTGCCATCTGCAAGACCAGCAGTTCTACACCACCAGCTGCTCCACAGGAGAAAGACGAGCCTTTCTACTTCTGTCAAGCGTGACCATCTTGGAAACTCACAGGGGCACTTCTACCCTGTCCTGCAGGGTGCCACCAACTTGGTGGCAGGGAGTGTGTGGTTTGCTTGCTTCTTTGTGGTGAATGGAGACCTGTTTGGGAAGGATGACAACTGGAAGGTGTAGGAAAGAAAGGCGGAGAGTGTCCCCCCAACCAATCACCCTCCTCCACCCCCACAGACCTGTCCCCCATGGATGGGATCAGTACCTGTGGACCAAAGGAGGAAGTGACCCTTCGGGTGGTAGTGAGGATGCCCCCCCAGCACATCATCAAAGGGGTAAGGAACTTCCAGGAGGGTCTAGTGTATGAACGAACATAACCTGTCTTTTTTTCCCGTTTAAGAAAACCTGGACTCTGTGTACACATCCCCCCGCCCCTCCCCCCGCCCCCCCAATCAGAGGCCTCGGCTTCTGGGAGCTATTAGTATTCCCTTTCCTTGGGATCATCTACCCGGAGGTTCACACGCCTCTGTCTCGGCTTTACAGGACTTGAAACAACAGGAATTCTTCCTGGGGTGTAGCAAGGTCATTGGAAAAGTGGACTGGAAGATGCTGGATGAAGCGGTTTTCCAAGTGTTCCAGGTAAAGGGTCCCGCATGAACAATGCTATCCTCTCATGGGCTATTGAGCCATCTCAGCACGGGGATCTTGGGGGACCTTCGACCCGAAGGTTTGTGGGTCAATGCTAAAGAGAAGAAGTGGATGTTCGCCCCTTTTGTTCCCCTCTTCCAATACTCTCTCACCTGCGTGCGTGCCCTCTCAGGCGTGCGCCTGTCTTCTTGGTCCCCTTTCTTCTGCCAGGACTATGTTTCTAAGATGGACCCGGCCTCCACCTTGGGACTGACCACGGAGTCCATCCACGGCTATAGCATAAGCCACGTGAAGCGCGTGTTGGACGCCGAGCCCCCCGAGATACCTCCCTGCCGCCGAGGTGTCAACAACATATCTGTCTGCCTCAAAGGTCAGTGTCTGTCTCTCGGGATAAGGCGGTATGGGATGCAGGGAGGAGGCACCAGATCAGTCACCATCGGTTCATTCCACAAGGATTACTGAGAAGCAACAAAGTGGAGGTCGCTGTGCTAAAGTAGAGGGAGCCTTGGGCGCGGAGTAGCTTATGAGTGGGCTGCTAACTGCAAGGTCAGCAGTTCAAAACCACCAGCCGCTCTATGGGAGAAAGATGAGGCTTTCTACTCCAGTAAAGAGCGACGGTCATGGAAAACCCACAGGGGGTGCTCTCCCCTGTCCTGCAGGGCGACTTGGGTTTGGGTGTCTACGAAATGAGAGACGGAAAATGATGAGTGTGACCCAGCGCTAACTCTCGTCCCCAGGGACAGCTTTCTTTTTTGGCCAAGGCTGAGCTTTTAGCTGTAGCCCACCCCCCTCTAGTCTGGGGTGTGTCCCTAACCGCCAAATCGGAGTTTCCGAAAGAAGGGGTGAAGGGCAGTTCCTGTAGGTTCATCGGGCAAGTGGCCTGCGTTTGGTCAGCGGGCTGCTTGATGAAGAACGAAAGCCCCGTAGAGTTCCCTGCTCTCCTCAGGACCCTCCTTAAGACCCCTGCTCTCCTGGGCTGGGTACAGGTCTGAAGGAGAAATGCGTGGACAGCCTAGTGTTTGAGACGCTGATCCCCAAGCCGATGATGCAGCACTACATCAGCCTCCTGCTCAAGCACCGGCGCCTCGTCCTCTCCGGCCCCAGCGGCACGGGCAAGACCTACCTGACCAACCGGCTGGCCGAGTACCTAGTGGAGCGCTCTGGCCGCGAGGCCACCGAGGGCATCGTCAGCACCTTCAACATGCACCAGCAGTCGTGTAAGGTAGCTAGCTGCCTTCCAGACACCCCTGCTGGTCTTCAGGCCGGGCCTCCCCGGGCACACGTTTTCTTCTTCCCCCACCTCCCCAGGGATCCTCTTCTTCCACAACCCGTCGGGCTGTTTTTCTAGGCCTCTCTCTCCCCAGCCCAGTGTCTCCCCACCGTTGCCCTCCATGCCTTTCTCCACACCGCCCCTTTCCTGGGGGCCTCCTTTCCCTGCCGTGAGATGCTCATCAGATGGCGTCCTCCTGCTTCTCCCTGGCCGGCAGCTCGGCCTGTGGATCGCCTCCCTTCTCTCTTTGCCCTTCCCTCCGCTTTTCTTTCCAGCGCTGAGAGTTCAGTGCTCCGTGCTCCGGTCTCCCCGACCCAACCCTGGGGCCTCGGGGCAGCCCCTCACGCTTTGCAGTCGGTCCACGTCTTGCCTCTCACTCACCGACAGGGCGGTGGCTTCCATGCCTGGCAGGGTGGCGTGCGCGCTCAGTGGAAAGCCGTTGAGGAAACAGCCTGTGTAGTCAGAGCGTAGACTCCGCATTCGAGGATGCGGGCGGGCGGGGCTGCTGTGGAAGAAGACAGTGTCAGGACCTTAGGGACCACTGTTTGTCAGTCTGAGGTCCCACAGTCACATGTCCGAGGGCATCCAACATGAGCCAGAGGCCCTGGGGCTGTCCAGAATACTTAGCCGAGCTTCTCCCAGACATTCCTTTACCCCTGCTGCTGAGTGCTGACCTCCCGCCCTTTCGTCCCAGGACCTGCAGCTGTATCTCTCCAACCTGGCCAACCAGATCGACCGGGAAACGGGAATCGGGGACGTCCCCCTGGTGATCCTATTGGACGACTTGAGTGAAGCAGGCTCCATCAGTGAGCTGGTCAATGGAGCCCTCACCTGCAAGTATCACAAATGGTGAGAAGGGGTCCGGGACAAACTCGTGGCAGTGGGAGGAGGGGCACCTAGCTCTGCGTCATTGTGTGGCCGCGAAAGACCAGTCTAAGCGAGTCGCTTCTCCTTTCCCCCACAGCCCTTATATTATAGGAACCACCAATCAGCCCGTCAAAATGACACCCAACCATGGCCTGCACTTGAGCTTCAGGTAAGGAGGCTGACACGGCATGAATCTTCCAACCCTAGTCAAAGGCCTTTAGATTCATTAAACCCAAGCCTTTGGCCAGAGGGTGGTTGATGAGAGTAGAAGGGAAGAGGACTAGCCGGAGCTTTCTAGGCTGGGAAGAGAAGTTGGGTGTACTTACTGTGTCAGCTAGAACGTGGGAACGACCTTGAGACAGGGGTGCTACAAGCGAACCCGATAGGCTACTGTCATTAGGATGTTCTGTCCTTGTATCCCCTGATCAAGGTTTTGGTGAATGTCCCTGACTCGAGACTGAGCTCTTGTCTGCCCAGGGCTGCCGCCCTGAGTTCAGTCCCTCTCACACACACACACCCCGCCGAAGAAACCAAGCGGGCTTTAGTGGCAGGCAGGAGGAGGGGTTGGGCTGGCGGGGGATGTACCCTGACCTTACCCTCCATCCCTGGCGGCAGGATGCTGACCTTCTCCAACAACGTGGAGCCGGCCAATGGCTTCCTGGTGCGCTACCTGCGGAGGAAGCTGGTAGAGTCAGACAGCGACATCAATGCCAACAAGGAGGAGCTGCTTCGGGTGCTTGACTGGGTCCCCAAGCTCTGGTATCATCTCCACACCTTCCTGGAGAAGCACAGCACCTCAGACTTCCTCATCGGTACTTGGGGTCAGGAGGCGGCTTCCCTTTCCCACTTTCCTGGCTGGCGGGGTGCCCCCTGCCTTTCCAGGCCAAGAGCCTTGTGGCTGCAGACCCGGGGCCACATGGTTCCTGGAACAACCCTTGCTGATGCCGCGAGCACCATGCGCTGGGTCAGTCGCTGCAGCCCTCCGAAAGCCAGCGCCTCTCCATCTTTTCTCCCCATAATGAATGAGGGGAAGGTGATCGAGTCTCCCCGCCCTGTCCCTGGTCTCCCATCCACTTGGTGAAAGCGTTACTCACGTGCGGCATATGCCAGCCAGGCAGTTCGGCACCCCCTTGCCCTGAAAACCATCTTCATAAGAGCTCAACACAAAGTTCCTTTCACCCTTTGGCTATCACCCCCCTCTGCCTGGGCTCCCAGAAGCAGGTGAAGGGGGAGAGGCAGTTGCTCAGCCGTCTCATGGCCTCCTCCTGTTCCGCTAGGCCCCTGCTTCTTTCTGTCCTGTCCCATCGGCATTGAGGACTTCCGGACTTGGTTCATCGACCTGTGGAACAACTCTATCATTCCCTACCTCCAGGAAGGAGCCAAGGACGGAATCAAGGTGAGCCCCACCCTCGGCTTCCATTCAAACTGATCGAAGGGGAAACGTGCCTTAACTGTTAGGCCTGGGCGGCTAGGGATTCGTAGGGTTCTCGTTCTAACAGGCAGATAGTGAAGCTGCTGTCCTGCCCTTAGCAGCCTTTCAGCACACAGCTCACTGCTTGTGAGCCCCTCTCTCCAGGCTGAGGCCTTCTGACTCTAAGTCCTCTCTAAGCCTAGAGAGTACCGCTCTAGGGGTCAGAGCAGATAGAAAAACCATTGTGTTGAGAAACAAAACCCTATTATAGGCCCCACTGCTGTCTTGGTCATTAAGGAGCTCCGGTGGCATAGTGGTTACACGTTGGGTGTTCACCGGAAGATCCGTAGTTCAAAACCATTAGCCGCTCCTCGGAAGAAAGAGGAGGCTTTCTATTCCGGTAAAGAGTTACAGTCTCGGAAACTCACAGGGACAGTTCCGCCCTGTCCTGCAGGGACACCTCGATGGCAGTGAGGTTGGTTAGGGTTTTACTTCGTTGTTGTGGGCTGCCATTAGAGCCTCAAGGCTGTCCATTTAGAAGGTGTGCTGATGTCCAAGGAGCAGACTGTTTTGTGGGTGCCGTCAGAGGAGCCCTGGTGGCGTGGTGGTTATGTGTTGCGCTGCTAACCTCAAGGTCAGCAGTTTAAACCCACCAGCTGCTCCATGGGAGAAAGACAGGGCTTTCTATGCCGGTAAAGAAACCCAGGGGGCAGTTCTACCCGGTGCTATAGGGTGGCTGTGGGTCAGAAGTGACTGGATGGCAGTGAGTTTGGATTTTGGTATCAGAGACAACATGGATGGCCCTCTAAAGCAGCGGTTCTCAACCTGGGGGTGGGGGTCAAGGCTCGTTTAGGGGTCGAACAACCCTTTCACAGGGGTCACCTAAGACCATATTTCCAATGGCCTTTAGAACCGAAACATTGCTCCTCTATCCGTCTCCAGGCAGGTCTGCCCATAAGCAGATACGCCCACGTATGGGGCTCACCACAACAAGAGGAAATATCAAGGAAGGTTGAGAGCCGCTGCTCTACAAGATGGCTTCCTCCCTCAGTAACGTCCCTCTCCTCTTCTCCAGGTCCACGGACAGAAAGCAGCCTGGGAGGACCCCGTGGAGTGGGTCCGGGACACTCTCCCCTGGCCTTCGGCACAACAGGACCAGTCAAAGCTGTACCACCTACCCCCACCCACTGTGGGCCCCCACAGCATGGCCTCCCCTCCGGAGGACAGGACAGTCAAAGATAGCACCCCAAGTTCTCTGGACTCAGATCCCCTGGTGAGTAGAAGCATGTAAGAGTGGACAAGAGTCTTCTTTTAATACCAGCCGCTTCATACGCTATGCGTCGCCTGGTGGGGTCTTGGAAACGGAGGAACACCGCAGGTCGAGAGAGCAGAGCACTGTGTCAGAATGATCTCATGCAGGGACAGTCGCTCAAGCCATGTGAGAATACAGCCACCCAAGGCAAAGGGCAGGGACAGTAAGCAAAGAAGTCGAGCAGTAGGCGAAAGAGCTGAGGAAGACGTGGAGGGAGGATGCTCGGGTGTCTGAGCGCCCTCATCTTGGTTTGTGCTTTGCACTGTTACGGATTCCAGCCTTTCATCGTGGCTCGGATGAAAGGTCCCCGAGCAGCTCCTCGGTACTGTCCTCAGCAACTCACATAGACCCTTTCACCTCGTCCATCGCCAACCTCTCGATGCGACGTCACCCATCCGCCTCCTCCCTGGGTTTCCCGTCTCTCCATCCCTCCTGTGTTCCCAACCCCCGAGCTTCGTCCTCGGGTAGATGAGGGTTCCCAAGGAGGGACCCTCCATGGTAGGTAAATCTGGGTGATGCTGTTCGGACCCGGCCTGCCGCATGAATGTGAATACCCTTTCAAGTTAGAAGGGTTTTTAAAAATGTGCATGACTGTTACAAGGGCTGTTTTTCACATGGGATACATGATTTTAAGAAAGCTAAAAAAAATTCCAAATGCGTCATGACGACTTGGAAGAATGCCCTACTTGAGAGGTAGATTCGGCACAGGGAGAGGGATGATCCCTGCATGTGATGTATCATGCGGTCAGCCGGATGATCCTCCCAAATGGCCTTACCAATGGACCCTCCTGCCAGCATTGTATGCAAATGCATGCCTCCCCGGTCCATTTTGGACCACGTGAAGTAGTGCCTCAGTTTTATTGTCACTGCTTCAGTCTGTCTTTTTACTTGGC